ATTTTTTCAATTTGAAAATATTTTGTTTGGTTGTTTGTAATTTTCTACTTCGCGTTTTTCTGCAACACTTCATTTTTAATTTAAAATATTCTTTATATATTGAAAATAATATTTATTTTATGATAATAATATATATTTTTTGACGATAAATTCGATTATTGCTCCCAGTTATTATTCAAGTTATTCATACACTAGTAGTTGTATTTGGTAAATATTTCACATTTTGTAATGTTACAAAATATTCTGCTCTGTCAGGTTACAACTAATCTCCTCGTAAGCTTACGTGAATTGTAAAACCTAATAAAAACATATTAGATTTTTAATACTTACAATTATCACAATAATTTAATATTCACAATTACCACAATATTACAATTATTACAATAATTTAATATTTAATAAATTAATATTAATATAGATAATTACAATATTCTTGTAATTATAAAAATGGAATGGCATAATATGGTTGCATCCAATAAAAAAACTATATATCCTGCGTAAAAAAATGTCATCCGGATATATTTCAATAAGAAGACATAATATACTGGACTAAAGATATCAAATTATACTTTTGGACCATTCTCTCTTTCTACGTTCAATGAACTGATGTACTTATTGTATAGTCTTTCGCATATCATATATCCCTATCACACTTACCTTTATTCACATATATATATACATCTATCTATTTGTGTCGCATTGGTGCACGCAGCATATACTTCTTAATTTATCGTTTTATTAAATATTATAATGCGTGCTAATGATCACACCGACTCACACGCATCGTGTTCATCACGTAACTACACATTTACCGCGAAAATTTTCAAGTTTCTCCGTCGAGAATCGCAAGCGTTGATATCGATATATTAACACTAGCGCCACCTTTTGCTCGGTACCAACGTAGCGATTGTCGAACGTGTTACGATCGATCGATTCACGTTTGCTTTTCTTGATTAGGCTCATAGGTTGCGTTTCGAAAACACAACAGTTGTACAACAGTTGAATTATTGTCAATATAAAGCCAGCGGCACACGGTGCTTGTTTTCGTGTTGAATTGCTCGCTGGATAGAAATACTGCGTTCTGATTGGTGCATTTCCAAAAATGGATGACAATACATTAATCAAAACACAATATTTCCATCCAGCAAACAATCCAGCACGAAAACAAGCATTGTGTACCGCTGGCTTAAGTTGCGTTCGGGAATCCACATTGTGTGCATACCATTAGACACCAGCTGTTCCGAAACATCCAGGCTATATTCGGAAATATTACTTTTTGGTGTGCTCTTGTGACAGTGACTGAAGTCTGTCCTTTTTCGCTGCACTGCTGAAACAACTATATTTTTGTTCTATTCCTTTCAGCTGCGCTGCTGAACTGGTGCAATAATTAAGCTTAAGATTAGAGTGCAATTTGATCAATCAGAACAAAGTTCACTAAACTTGGGTTAGTAAATTTTTCTGATACATGCTTTATTCCGTGTTACACTACGGATTACGGTTGAGATTGGTTGAAATTTGACCAATCAGAGCAAGTTTAACTAAACTTAAGTTTAGTGAACTTTGTTCTGGTTTGTCAAATTTCATGTAATCTCAATTCTAATCCGTAGTATGACACGAATTTTATAGAAGATGGAATGAAGTCTGAGGGGCAAGAGGGATTTATCGCCACGGTTATCTTAATATCTCAAATTTAACGCCTACTTTCACGTCGCGCGATATACCACCAGATGGCGTATGAGAAGCACTTTTCAAAAAACGGATAGACGGATGATTATACGGTACCCAACGTTAATCGAGGCATTGCAACGACTTCAGTCTTTTGATTCCAGGTATCAAGCAAAGAAATTAAGAAGTCCCGATTGTTCGATTTATATTGACATGTTTACAAATATATTTGTCACGTGAATAAATAACACATGTTTACAAATATATTTGTCACATGAATAAATAACACATAAAGTGATTAATACAGAAAATTCGGTTACCCACACTACATCGGATTAATGTGCATTAAAGGCTGCTACATACGAAGTATATAAATGTAATGGCATAATATAATTTCTTTGGTGATGAAATAATTTTAAATATTTTTTAAATTTCAATAGCTACGTATATCAGCTTCTAATGTGCTCTAATGCCCGTTTTTATCATCATGGTTTAAATTCAATTGATTAACTCAACGGAGTTGATTTATCGCATTAATCGGTTCAACCAATCGGGCAATACAGTTGGTCAATTTCTTTGAGTTAATCGTCGATTAGAATTATATAATGATGGTAGAAACAAACGTAATTCAGTGTAGTACAGGTGATCGAATTAATATATGTACTATTGTGCGCAGAGCCTTTCTTTTCTAAGTTATAATTAATGCCGTTACCCAACTATATATATATATATTGATACATAAATTGATACATAAAAATAAAGACTTTGCTTGAATTGTCTACTTTATTCGTTTATAACTTTCGTATGTATAATTATTTTTATTGAATCTTACAACATTATATACCATTAGTTTTGAAGATATTTTTTATACCAAAATTTTTTAAATATATAAAAATAAACATATAATTGTAGAGAAAGAATATATCTTTTTATACTTTTCTAAATATATATTCAATTCGGCGGTGGGCCGACATAAAAAGATTCTTGATGACTGATGTATAGCCCTTCAGATGATAAATGTTGTTTGTTGTTGTTCGGATAATGCTGTTGTTTCCCATTATTACACTTGTTTTTACAAGGATGACACATTGGAAAATATTTAGCATGTACGCAGCATCTTGAAATGCTTGAATATACATGATCATCTGGACATTGCAAAAGGAAACCTTGGAGTACGTCGCGTGAATCACGTCTGCATTTGTAATATAAATTCGAACAACCCTTATCATAAGGATAATGACCTTCCCCTGGACACAATTTCTTCGTGGAAACTTCCAGCTGAAAATACAAAATTAATTATAAATACCGTAAAGATGTTTGTACAGAGTATTTAGTTTTAATTAATAATTTCGCTTCAAGCTGTTCATCTATTTAGCTTTAATTAATAATAATAACTTCGCTTAAAGCTGTTCGTCCTCGAGATATTGCAATAGTATAGTTCTTTATAACAAATTCTGTCGCTTGCATTGGTAGTTATCAAAAGCGAACTTCTTTGGCAGTATATTTGTTTGTGTTTAAGTATTTATGTGTGTATAAGTATAAAGAGCTAATATATCTACGTTATATTATACTTACGACTGATATTGGTACATCTGTAGTTAAGGAGTCGAAATATGTGCATGTGCCATGCCCATTAAGAACTTTACCAATGTTAGCTTCTACTACACACTGTACTTTCTTCTCATTGAAAACTCGGCCTTCTGGACAGCTGAAAACAGTAACCTTAGCGCCCAAATTATTCGTCGGTGTACATTGGTAGAAGAGATTGCAGTATTTTGGATGACGCCGAAAACCGGTAGGACAAACGAGAAATACTTGATCCCCGGTCAACTCTCCAACAGGACACTTGACCTCAGTAGGAACGGTTGTTCCCGATGGAAGCTCGGTGGACATTGGGAGGCTTGTTGAACTTGGCTCTTTAGGAGATACGGTCGTCTCTTCAGACACGCCACTTTCATTACTCTGATTTCCTTCGCTAGAACTATGTCGAGTAGTAATTTCAGTTTCGGAACTTTCGTCGCTTCCCCCGGTTGGTACATGTGGTGTCGTCACATCAGATTCGCCACCCTCGTGACTTTGATTTCCTCCGTTAGATGAATTCGGTGTAACATCAGTTTCAGAGGTGTTCTTGCTTTCAGAACTTTCATTCGGTGGTATTTCATTGGAAGTATGAGGAGTATTTTCGTTTTCGGAACTACCTTTGATTTCAGCACTTTCTTTCGTTGATATGTGCGGAGTCGTCACTTCGGATTCACCACTTTCGTGACTCTGATTTTCTTCATTAGATGAATTCGGTGTGGTATTCTCAGTCTCCTTGTTTTCAGAACTTTCTTTCGGTGATACTTGTGGCGTAGTCTTTCCTCCACTCTCGTTATTCCAATTTTCTTCTTTGGAAGTATGAGGAGTAGTATCATTAATTTCTGAACTATCCTTGATTTCTGCACTTTCTTTCGTTGATATTTGCGGGGTTGTCATATCGGATTCGATACTTTCATAACTATTTTTTTGTTTTGAGTCAGATGGTGTAGTTATTTCTATTTCCGGGTCTTCTCTACTTTCGAAACTTTCTCTGGATGGTAGTTGTGGCGTTGTCATATTAGACTCGGCACTTTCGTCGCTGCCATTCTCGTCATTGGGTCCATAAGGAGTAGTTTGTTCTCCCTGATTATCAGGTTCTCTTGATTCTTTCGAAATGCCATTTTCTTCATTTTTGCATGACCGATTCACAGAGTGGGCAAAATTACACTTTAATATATTCGGATCCCATAAAGTACCCTCAGGACAAATAAATATATGTTTTTTAAATGATTGCGATCCTACTTTGACGCATTTATAATATTTCTTGCAGTCTGTGGGATCTGAGAAATAACCTTCGGAAGTGCATTTTGCTTGAGATTCCTTACTTTCATTGCTATCGGAAGGTCTTTTAGTCGGTATTTGCGGGATGCTTTCTTGCGATTCGCCACTTTCGCGGTTTTGGCCTTCTTCCGTTGAAATACTTGTTGTGATTTCAGTCTCCGAACTTCCCTTGTTTTCAGAGCTTTCTTTAGGTGGTACATTTGGCGTAGTTCTTCCAGATTCCCCATTTTCTTGATTACCACTTTCTTCCTTCGAAGCATGCGGAGTTGTTATTTCTGACTCAGAGCTTTCGTTGCTCTCTATGCTCTCCCTGGATGGCACTTGTGGTGTGCTCCCTTGTGATTCGTCACTTTCGCGGTTTTGGCCTTCTCCCGTTGCATTACTTGGTGTTGTGTTTTCAGCCTCGGAACTTCCCTTGTTTTCAGAGCTTTCTTTGGGTGGTACCTTTGGCGTAGTTTCTCCAGATTCCTCACTTTCTTTCTTACCACCTTCTTCCTTCGAAGAATGTGGTGTTTTTATTTCAGACTCAGAGCTTTCGTTGCTCTCTATGCTCTCCCTGGATGGCACTTGTGGTGTGCTCCCTTGCGATTCGTCACTTTCGCGGTTTTGGCCTTCTTCCGTTGCATTACTTTGTGTTGTGGTTTCAGTCTCGGAACTTCCCTTGTTTTCAGAGCTTCCTTTAGGTGGTACCTTTGGCGTAGTTTCTCCAGATTCCTCACTTTCTTTCTTACCACCTTCTTCCTTCGAAGAATGCGGAGTTGTTATTTCAGACTCAGAGCTTTCGTTGCTCTCGATGCTCTCCCTGGATGGCACTTGTGGGGTGCTCTCCCGCGATTCGCCACTTTCGTGGTTTTGACTTTCTTCCGTTGAATTACTTGGTGTTGTGATTTCATTTTCGGAACTACCCTTGTTTTCAGAGCTTCCTTTTGGTGGTACCTTTGGCGTAGTTTTTCCAGATTCCTCACTTTCTTTCCTACCACCTTCTTCCTTCGAAGAATGTGGTGTTGTTATTTCAGACTCAGAGCTTTCGTTGCTCTCGATGCTCTCCCTGGATGGCACTTGTGGGGTGCTCTCCCGCGATTCGCCACTTTCGTGGTTTTGACTTTCTTCCGTTGAATTACTTGGTGTTGTGATTTCATTTTCGGAACTACCCTTGTTTTCAGAGCTTCCTTTTGGTGGTACCTTTGGCGTAGTTTTTCCAGATTCCTCACTTTCTTTCCTACCACCTTCTTCCTTCGAAGAATGTGGTGTTGTTATTTCAGACTCAGAGCTTTCGTTGCTCTCTATGCTCTCCCTGGATGGCACTTGTGGTGTGCTCCCTTGTGATTCGTCACTTTCGCGGTTTTGGCCTCCTTCCGTTGCACTACTTGGTGTTGTGTTTTCAGCCTCGGAACTTCCCTTGTTTTCAGAGCTTTCTTTGGGTGGTACCTTTGGCGTAGTTTCTCCAGATTCCTCACTTTCTTTCTTACCACCTTTTTCCTTCGAAGAATGTGGTGTTTTTATTTCAGACTCAGAGCTTTCGTTGCTCTCTATGCTCTCCCTGGATGGCACTTGTGGTGTGCTCCCTTGCGATTCGTCACTTGCGCCGTTTTGACCTTCTTCCGTTGAATTACTTGGTGTTGTGATTTCATTCTCG